TGTTTCCAGATCTTAGTAATTGTAAATGGTGCTGCTATGAACATATATTCTTTCTGATTGGTATTTCAGGCTTCTTAGGATATATTCCTAGAAGTGGGATCACTGGGTCAAATGGCAGTTCAATCTTAATTTTTTGAGGAAAAACCATATTGATTTCCATAGTGCCTGCACCAGTCTGCATTCCCACCAGCAGTGTACTAGAGTCCCCTTTTCTCCACACCCTCACCAGCACTTGTTGTTTGATGATTTGTTGATGGCAGCCATTCTGACAGGTGTGAAGTGATACCTCATTATGGTTTTAATTTGCATTTCTCTGATGATTAATGATGTTGAGCTTTTTTTCCTATGTCTCTTGGCCATTTGTATGTCCTGTTTGGAGAGGTGTCTATTTAGGTCCTCTGCCCATTTTTAAATTGGGTTCTTTGTCTTCCTTTTGTTGAGTTGTATGAGCACTCTATATATTTTAGAAATTAACCCCTTATCTGATGTATCGTTGGCAACGATGCTCTCCCATATAGTGGGTTCCCTTTCCATTTTGATGTTTGTTTCTTTTGCTGTGCAGAAGCTTTCTAATTTGATGCAGTCTCATGTGTTCGTTTTTCCCTTTGTTTCTCTTGCCTTAGGTGTTGTATCAGTGAAAATTCTGCTGCATGTGATGTCTGAAATTTTGTTGCCTATATTTTCTTCTAGAATTTTTATGGACTCATGAGTCACATTGAAGTCTGTTATCCATTTTGAGTTATTTTTTTTATCCTCACCGAGGACATTTTTGCATTTATCTTCAGATAGAGCGGGAGAGAGAGACGGGGGAAGAGAGAAACATCGATGTGAGAGAGACACATCGAGTGGCTGCCACCCACATGATCCCAACTGGGGCTGGGGTCAAACTGCAACCAAGATACATGCCCTTAGTGGGAACCGAACCAGGGACTCTCTGGTCCATGGGCCGATGCTCTAACTGCTAAGCCAAACCTGCCAGGGCGAGTTTATTCTTGTATATGATGTAAGATGATGGTCTAGTTTCATTTTTTTGCATGTAGCTGTCCAATTTTCCCAACACCATTTATTGAAGAGGCTATCTTGACTCCACTGTATGCTCTTGCCCCCTTTATCAAATATCAATTGAACATAATGTCTTGGGTCAATTTCCAAGTTCTCTGTTCTGTTCCATTGATCTATATGCCTGTTCTTGTGCCAGTACCAGGCTGTTTTGATTACAGTGGCTTTGTAGTATAACCTGAAATCCAGTATTGTGAGCCCACCTACTTTGTTCTTCTTTTTCAAGATTGCTGTGGCTATGCGGGGTCTTTTTTGGTTATAAACTTTTGATGTATTTGTTCTAATTCTGTGAAGTATGTCGTTGGTATTTTAACGGGGATTGCATTGAATCTATAGATTGCTTTGGGTAGTATGGACTTTTTTTTTTTATCCTCACCCGAGGACATTTTTCCATTTTTTGTTCAGATAGAGCGGGAGGGAGAGAGAGAGAGAGAGAAACATCGACACGAAGGGACACATCGAGTGGCTGCCACCCGCACGACCAACCAGGGCCGGGGACAAACTGCAACCGAGGTATGTGCCCTTAGCAGGGACCGAACCCGGGTCTCTCTATACGACAGGCCAACACTCCAACCGCTGGCCAGGGCAGTATGGACATTTTAATGATGCTAATTCTTCCAATCCATGAACAAGGTACATGCTTCCACTTTTTTATATCTTCCTCTGTTTCTTTTTTCAATGTCCTGTAGTTTTCTGCAAATAGGTCCTTTAGGTCTTTGGATAAGTTTATTCCTAAGTATCTTAATTATTTGGCTGCAACGGTAAATGGGATTGTTTTCTTAGTTTCTCTTTCTGTGAGTTTACTATTAGTGTACAAGAATGCCATCCATTTCTTGATGTTAACTTTGTATCCTGCTACCTTGACAAATTCATTTATTAAATCTAGTAGATTTCTGATGGAGTCTTTAGGGTTTTCTATGTACAATATCATGTCATCTGCAAATAATGACAGTTTTACTTCCTCCTTTCCAATTTGGATCCCTTTCATTTCTTCATGTCTAATTGCTGTGGCTACGACTTCCAGTACTATGTTAAACAAGAGTGGTGAAAGTGGGCATCACTGTCTTGTTCTGTTCTAAAGGGAAATGCTGTTAGTGTTTGCCCATTGTGCCTCAGTTTCTTCATCTGTCAGGTAGAATGATAACAGCATGTGAGGACTAAAGGGTTAATATATGAAAAACACTTAGAATAGGACCCAGGACATAGTAACACTGATACATTTTGGTTGTTATCATTAATAACAATTTTGGAGAAGCTGCTCCTGACAATAAAATAGCAAAAAAGAGACTGTGAAGTATTTCCCCACAAGATACCTTAAAAACAAAACTAAGCCAGAAGAAAGTCATCTGTTTAGGACAGACACAGAAGGTGACACCGATGACCTCTGGGGGGAGGGTCACCGCACAGCGACTCTTTCCAGAGATTTAAAATATACACCACAAAGACGCAAGCTACATGTTTCACTAGTAATTCCAGTAGTTAAAAGAAGGAACAAAACACTTCACTCGGGACCCCGTTTCAAAGGATCAACAGAGAGAAATGCCAAGGTGAGAACGCTGAGCTGAATGAACGTGTCACCCGCATAGCTTCCTGTGGGCAGGGTCTGCGAGGACAGGGCGGCACAGGAGGGCACACACCTCCCAGAGGAACCTGTGCGATGTCGCCTGGGAAAAGGCGGAGCACAGACACATTTTCTTGCAAAGTTAGAAAGTGCTGAGTGTGGAAATTATCATCCCTATTTTAAATTGTCCCCAATGCTGACCTAAACTCAGTAGGCAGGCCTCAGGAGACCTCAAACAAGCCCCCGAGCGGTCACACAGGCCAGAGCCGCCACGCAGCGTGGACTCACGGAGCATCAGGATTAGACGCAGCTCCCGAGGTCACAGCCTCCCTGCCTCCAGGAACAGGAGCTCCCAGAGTCAGCAGCTGGCCCAGGACACAGCAGTCTGCAGGAGCCCCTCACAGGCTCAGCGCTCTGGAATCAGGAGTCTTGGTGTTCAACGATTCCAGAAAACCGAGGGCTCTCTTCCAAAGAGCAACCCATTGCACAGAGGTGCCGTGTTGTAACTGCCACAGCAGTGCTCCCTAGTCCTTCCCAGCGCTGACCAGATGGCCTTCCTTCCCCGACTCCGCGAGCAGCGGGGGTGGGGTTGCAAGAGCAGTTATTTCAGAGGCCAGACCAAGTCTGAAAGTCCCAGGAAGCCTGTGGTTTCAATGGTTGCACCCCAGGCCTTCAGCTAGCTACCCCAGTGCTGAGACATGGCTCCGACCTTGTCTCCACTCACATTCTGAGCAAAAGCCCCCATTTTCTGTGCCTCAGAACTTATAACCTACTTTCCAACGTCATGAAAGTTTTCTTCGTGTCACAAAGCCGAAGCAGCTCAGGCGTGAGGACACGCTACGCCGAGCGAGGGCACGCGGGCAGCGCCCATGGCGGGCTGCGCACGGGCCTGTCGGCTGGGACTTCAGTTCCCAGGCTCATGCAGTGAACACCGTGGAGAACTGTTCCTGGCGGTGGAAAGGGGGGCAGGGAAAACCCCATGTCTGCATCCACTCTGGCTACATGCACAGACAGAGCAGGTCGGGGCCGTGGAGACAGTGTTATGCGTGGGGGCTTCTGCTTCTAGTGCAGCTTTCTGCACCGAAATGATTGGCATGGAACAGAACCAAGTGTGAGACAAGGAGGTGATGCTGACCAGCAGTACTGAAGGTGCTCACCTGCTTCTGAAAGACACCTTTAAAGGACCAGAGAAGTCGCTCTCAAACCGCGAAGGGTTATCAAACAGGCGGGAGGCTTTTCTGAGGGACAGCAGGCACGGCCCAGAAGGTGCCCGTGTCCCCTCAGAGCGGCGTCTGGCCTGTGGGCACTCACTCCGCAGGGACGGTCTGCTCACCCATAGGATGCAAAGGCCTCTAGGAAACCGGAAGGCGTTCGTGCACACAGCACACCTGCCTCTGTTGCGGGGGGTGAACATTTCCCTAGGTTCCCTAACGGGCCCCTCGTCTTCACTTGGAGTACTCCTGGTACTTTCAGGAGAGAGGAAACTCTGGGAATGGTGCCCGGTTACCTCATTCTCTGTAAATTATCCATCAATGTCTAATTCAAATAAACAAAATATTAAAAAGGTGCTAAATTTAAATGCCTTGTTGCCAAAAGTGAGTTAGGAAAAAATTATATATATATTTAGATAAATAAATAAATATATAATCATATATATGAGTATATGATTATATATATGTGTATATATAAATATATAATTAATATATACATATAAAAGGTTTAAAACCTTGATGAAAGGATTCTACATGTTTATGACAAAACATACATCGACTTCCAGGAAGGCAGAATGTAAACGGTGCATTCGGGCATGATCCCATTTACTTTTGCACTCTGGCTAATTCTCCTGTCTGAAAGACGTGTCCATCTCAGGCCGTGTCCCGTCTCCTGACGGCAAGGCTGGTGGTGACTGGAGGACGCGAACTACGGACCAGATCCAGCGCTTCGGAGACAAACTGGGAGAGGCTGTGGCGGGACGACGCCCTTCTGGACAGGGAGCGCGTCACCGTAGCGATAAGCGCACACAAGGAGGCAGCAAGCTCAGAACCCAACGAAATAAGAAATTTCTGAGGACAAGGCTGTCTTTTTTCTCAGCAAGCATTACAGAAGCGAGGGTTTATGCCTTTATTAATCACACGTACAGAAGCATTACCAGTGTCTGATGCGTGATGCTTAATGAAGAGTTGCTATAATTATCCTTCCCATCATTATGGGCAACTAAAGGACTATGGGTTTGCACTGACCTCACAAATCTGCCAGGCAACCTATAACGGGATCTTAAAAGATGTTTACCATACTCAGATCTTAAAGGACTACCATGTTAACAGAATGTCTACCACCTACTGCAATACATTTGGAAAAACTTTTCCTTTTCTTTTTTTACCTTGTGGTCCATACTGGCTCATTTGCGGACCGTAAGTCCCACTTGAGTTGCTCTGCTGAAAGCTACTGATCCCAGGATGCATCTGGCTTCCAGGGGACGGGTGAGGCGACATGGACGGTCCTGTCTGCTGGGGTCCGTACTGAGACATCTGAGGGTTTCTTTGTGTGCCTGCCATAAAACCTAAGTAGGAAACAAACGAAAATAGATAAATGCAGGTGGCAAACATGGACACAGAATTGTGTGGAAGGTGGGTGGGGAGAAGGAACATCGAAGCACAGCTCAGACCTAGTGTGGGGGCTCTGGAGAGCCTCACGGGGCTCCCCTGGTCCTCACTCTAAACTCTCGTTCGAGTTCCCGGGACCCAGTGCATTGTGGACTTGAACTAGGGAAAGAGAAGAGGGAGGAAAGGCGTTACTTAGCCTGCCTTGCAGATGAGGTCCCTACAGAAAGCTCCTGTGAGAGCCAGGACTCGCCTTACTGCAAGCCCTCCACTCCTGCCAGGACGGACGCGTGTGCACGGGGCCTCGGAGCAGCTCTGCCCACTCGCTCATCTCTGGGACGCTGTCCCGCAAACGTCACACCCTCTCTAGCCGAGGCAACAGCAGGTTTCTCCTGCACATGCTGTCCTTCTCCCCTCTGATCGCCTAGAGCACAGCTGTTCACCTTGACTCCTGACCAGTGTGCAGAACTGTGAGCCCCCGGTTCACGCTCTCCCTAGGGGTGACCTGGAAGCGGCTGCCGGACCGAGGCGGACTCTGATATCCAGAAACAGAATCGGACTTCCTCTTGCAAACAGTTCAGCCCGAGGCCTCCCGGTCTCCTTCAATGGCACCACCATCACCCAAATGCTCACGCCAGGAACCCGACGCCACGCTTCCCTCTCCCGATTCCCTGTGAGGGATCCACTCGCCAGCACCTCCCACTGCCTCCAGCCCTGAAACCACGGCGTCTCCTCCGTTCCCGTCCACAAGCCAGCCCAGCCACGCCTTCCTTTCCCACGAGTGCCATGGCCCAGCTCTCTCTGCCCCACCCTCCACCTGCTCCTCCTGCTGCACCTTCACCAGGCTGCCAGGATGATGTCTCAGGAATACAGAAGAAAACGAGGACGTCTCTCTCCCATGCTCAGAAGGCTTCCCGCCAGTCCTAGGACTCAGTGCAAACACCTGACCACGGGGTCTGGGGTAACCCAGGCTGTGGCGTTGCCTTTCACAGGGAACCCCATTTCCACTGCTTCCTCCTCCCCCTCACTACCCTGTCCGTCCGCTGGCCTCCTGGCAGCTCCTGGAGGCCGAGATGCTCTTCTGTGGCTGGCTCCCTCCCGCCCTCCAGGCCCGCCTTCCGACCGCCAGCCACGGGCACCACCCCTGCCGGTTCTCACTCTTTTCTTCACAGCACTTTTCTTTCTTTCAAATACTTATTATTATTATTTTTATTTTTTATTACAGATGTCCCGCCACAGCACTTTCATGGCCTGTCCTCTTACTTCGTTTTGGGCTCACTCTCACGTCTCCCCCACTTACGCACCGGCCTCGTGCAGGCGAGGGCATCTGTGCTCCCCGAGGCATCCTGGGAGCCTAGGAGTGCCTGGCACACGGTGGGTATCAGAGACGACTTTACGTACCAGAATGTAGGCCAGAATGTAGAACGAGCTGTGAAATACCCATTCAGACAAAGTGCACGCCAAATCAGGACTGGCCTCGAAGAAAAGCTAACATCAAACAGCACACGAACAGAGGCCATTTGAAGAACGGCTTCGAGAACCCACGGTTGGTAGGTGGGAGGTTCTGAGAGGCAGGCGAAGGCTCCGGTGTGCTGGACGGTGCCGAGAGGGGCGGGTTCTGCCTGGTCCACAGGGGAACCTGCAGCAGAGGCTGCCAGGGCCCAGTGAGGCAGCGAGAGGGGAAGGTGATGCCCTAATCCAAGCTCAGCTTAAATCAGAGGGCTGGACGGGGCAGGGCAGTTACAGAGACTGTGGTTTATATCTCAGAAAAAAGGGATCTTTTAACATTGCTTCTGTCTAAAGAGAAAGACATGAAAGTGCATAGAGCTGCTCCTTATTATCCTATTTCATTTATTTATAAAGATAAGCCTTATGAAATTGAGCTCAATTGGCAGCTTCCAGATATAAATAAGCATAGAAAATGTTTGCTTTTTCAAATCTGAAAACAAACAGAAATCAGAGCACTAAAATGACTAAAAATGATTGCATCTTAAGATGTTACATGAAATATTTATCTAAGCTTTACTATAAAATTCTCAGGAGTTTCATATATAGTCCTGTTTAATAAAAAACGTGTTTCAATTCCATACAGATTGTGTGGGTTTTTCTTTCTTTCAGAGACCGACTGCTTTCTTTTTCATTTGGAAAGGAAAATACAGGTCCTTTAAGTAGCATGAAATTTCGCTTCAGCCATGGAAGTGTCCATGCTAAAGGATTTACAACCTCTGATAATATGTGCGCTGCTAAGTTATTGTTGCCTCTGGGACACTCACTACGGGCTTCAAGTTTGTTCAAATGAATTCTAAGATTCTACTTGGGCAAAGCTATTTCTTTATTTCTGTCCTTAAAATATACATGTCATGTTCCACTTGAACTGTCACTGGCGTTCTGCAGAAAACCAAGTATGGGAAAGGCTCCAAAGGGGCGGAGTGTCCAACGCTAATTCAATGGAACGTGTCGCGGTGCCCAGGTCCACATACTGGGGACAGGTCACATGGAGGATGGACTCTACCTCCATCCACAGACATGAAATGGGAAAGCTAATCCTCTCTCTGCACGCTTTTGTAATGGCATCACTTACAACAGCTACTTGAAATGTTGTTCTTTTCTTGGTTAATCCTCACCCGAGGATATTTTTCCACTGATTTTTTTAGGGAAGGAAGGAGAGAAACATCGATGTGAGAGAGACACATTGATTGGTTACCCACTGCACGACCCCGACCGGGACCAGGGATCAAACCTGCAACCCAGGTACGTGTCCTTGACCAGGATTTAAACCCATGACCCCCTTGGTCCTTGGGCTGATGCTCTAATCACTGAACCAAACTGGCCAGGGCCTGAAATGTTGTTTTATACTTTCAGTGAGATGCACCCCTTTCCAGGTGACCCCCAAGACAAGGAAAGAAGGTCATGTAACTGCCCTGAGTATGCCGACCATACTCATCTAATGGCACCGAAACGGAAACAGAGGCTGAGATTACAGTCCTGTTTGTCACTAGTTCAGAACCTAGTAGGAAAACCAGAATGTAAATACAGTAACCCTCAATCTAACAAACTTGAGACTAAACAAATTTCCAGTCCCTGTATCATCATATGTGAAAATTAACACTTTGTTCATTTAAAAATGCTTTTAACCAAGATTTGCTTCTAATTAAATTAACAGGTTTTTTTGTTATTAATTCATTGGTATTTTTAATAAATTTTAACGAATAGGCAATACACTGGAAAAAACACTGTCATAATTTTGCCAACATAAATAAATATTACGTATCTAAAAGTATAGTCTACATATTTAAATCCAAGAGTCACTGCTCGTAAATAATATTCGGCGAATGAAGAGCATGTGGTCACAGGGCATCGTGTCTGGTACTGGTTCTGCAGCAGTTTTTACATGTGCTGGCAGATGTACCCACTTCCACTAACCCCGCCCCAGCCGTGTGCATTTGTTTACTTGCAGTGACTGGCGAATGCATGTATTTACTAGACCCATTCAGTATAAATTTATAATTACTGTAATGCATATAGAAAGCTTTTCTGTGAAATTAAACTTTCATACACACCTAAGTATATTTTTCCATTGATTTTTTTAGATCAAGTGGAAGGGAGAGAGGGAGAAAGAAACATCGATGTGAGAGACTCACCAAATGGTTGCCTCTATCATGACCCGAACAGGATCCGGGGGTCGAACCTGCAACCCAGATATATGCCCTTGATCGAAAACTGAACCTGAGACCCTTCGGACCCCGGGCGGACTCCGTCCCTGAGCCAAAATGGTCAGAGCACATACATACTTAATTTTAACTACACAAATGTATCCACATAAGTAAAAATAGGTAAACTAACAAATATTTTAATTTTTTAACATATGCATTTGGAAAAACCTACTTTACAATATAACGGACTTTTGGCCTGAATTAGTCTGTTATATCAATGTTTTACTGTAAATATATTACAGGCGTACTGATCAAATTAGCTGTGTGACTTTAGGCAAGTCAAAAATTATTTGAGCCTGGCTGGTGTGGCTCCCTGGACTGAGCATCATCCCCTGGACTGAGGGGTCCAAGTTTGATTCCCGGTCATCGCACAGGGCAGGGTTTCAGGCTTGATTACCAGCAGGGGGCGTGCAGGAGGCAGCTGATCAGTGTTTCATCATCACATCGATGTTTCTCTTTCCCTTCCACTCTCTCTAAAAAAAATCAATAAATAAAAACATTAAAAAAATTACTTGGGTCTCAGTTTCCTCATATTAAAATGAAGAGGAGGGCCCAGCCAGTGTGGCTCAGTGGTTGAGCATCGACCCATGCACCAAGAGGTCACTGTTTTGATTCCCGGTCAGGACACATGCCCAGGTGGTAGGCAAAATCCCCAGGAAGGGGGCATGTGGGAGGCGGCTCACTGATGTTCTCTCTCATCGATGTTTCCATCTCTCTCCCCCTCCCCCTCTCCCTTCCTCTCTCGCTAAAGCCAATAAAGAAAGATAAAATAAAATGAAGAGGAGATTGCTGTAAGGTCAAGTGAGAGAAATGTGAAAATGTTCTGCAATCTGTCATGGGTACTCAGAAGTAAGAGATTACGATGCCCATCTTCTGGTTTATTAACTACCATGACTGTCTTCTGACTCCTGAATACCCCACACATTGAGATGCAGCTTCCAACCAGAATAAACAAGCTAGTTTTCCTTCCTACATTTGTTTTTTACTTATATGTAGAATCCACATTCCCCTGCTGCTTATGTAACTGAGTAAAATTCCAAAAGGTTAAAAACCAGACACCCATCTTCTACCCTGTCGCCAAGGGCAAAAGGGTTTTTAATGGACCCCTTCAGAGATACTCTATAATTTGTGTTTGATTCTATTATTCTCTTATCATGAATAAAGTTGAACATTTCATTTAACTGCTGCTTTTATTTCCTTTTCTAGAACTGTTGATATCAATGGCCCACTTTTCTCTTGCGAGTCTG